GAGCCTGATTCCAGTACTAATAGGATGTTGATGAAGCTGTGCATGAGGAGACACTGGACATACCCTCGCCCCTCTCGAGTCCTTCTCTCCACCTAAACATCCAGCGTCAAATTGTTTAAACATTCCTTTCCTAAAACCATCCATCAGCTGGAGAGATGGGCCTGGCTCCATCCCACATGACTCTAAACCATCCAGCAGACTGTTTAACGCATTGAAAATACCTCATGTTGTGTGACCCTCCGCTTTGCAGTGTGCCAGCGAGTGCCGCACCCCTGCACCCGTCTCTACTCTGAGACCAAGAGTGTGCCCGTGTGGGAGGGTGGAGTGTGCCACTACCTGTAAGTCACATCAGGCTGTGGAACTGCTGTTCCGGCCTCGCATGCTTATTCTCATCACGGAGCTGAAGAAAAGCAGAGCTCGTTTGTGACTAAACGGATCCGTGTTTCATCCTTCGCAGGTACAAAAGGACGTATAAAGTACAGCAGGATGTTTGTTATCGAGAGATTTGTGAACCGACGACTCCAAAGAAAAGTCAGAGTGAGTTTTAGTAAAAAGCTGTCTGAGCAGTGTTGAAGTTGTTTTTAAGCAAAGAATCCAATGTGACTCTTTTCACACCCTGATATTATCTTTCCTAACAGTCAGAAGAACAAACAGACAACAATAAAAGGTTTGTTTTCTTTAACACAATCAACAGAATTGTACTTTTTGCAGTGAAATGTTCCCTCCAATCATGTACTGTATATGCACAAGATCGAAAGATGTTTAACAATTGTCTTAAAAATGTTCTTCCTTTATTTCTAGAGCACTCGGGTACTGATGAAAGGACCGTCATCACTGTCATGTGAAAAGCCCTAACTTCAAATTTGGTGTTTATAATCTACTTGAAGTAACTGATTATTTTTTGTGCTGAGAAACTCTGTCAGCGCCCACTGTAACATTTTTTTTTTTTTAGAAACAGTCCATCATTCATGTGGAAATAAGGTTGTGTTTGTTCATTCCTGAGAGCTGTGTTTGGAGCTCCACGCCTCATGAGAGGACTTCAGTCGATCAGAGGACACATCATTTATCATTGCCGATGCTCGATGACTGATTCTACGCACAAACACACACGTGTGCAAATGTTAACGGTGAGCAGTCGGCTGTACCGCATCGGAGACCTTATATACCTCATGTCCATGTCCATGCTGACACATTAGGAGAGGTTTTTTAGGATTTGTGATTCAGCTGCAGGTGTTGTCCCTCAGGTAAAATAACTGTAGAGTGTTCCGAGTCTCTCCCCCCCCCCCCCCCCCCCCCCCCCCCGATCTCCTTATAAAGACGATGGGAAATGTATGCTTTCTACACACTCCATGAATTCATCTCTTGCTCTGACAATGGCGCACAGTGTTTCCTGTGTATAAATATCCTTCTCTGTGTCTTAGCAGGCATCACTGCTCGCTATTCTGTAAATAGTGTTTATAGGCCATTTTGTAGTTGAATATTTTAATAATAAAAATGTTAAAATGTTTTGTGCTTCCTGTATCTTTTGTGGTGTACATATGCATCCTGGATTATTTCTTAGAAAGTAGACAAAGTCTCCTAGTATCCACTGTATTTCTGCTCAGTTTATCATTTTACATATATGCATAGGAAGCTGCTTAATGTTTACTTTCTAGCAAATCTGTTCAGGTAATGCTGTAGTATTACCATCACACAGACATGGTCAACACTTTCATTCAAATAGCTCTGGGTCATTGGTATGATGAAAGGGCACCAAAAGTAGGTGGATAGGAAGTGGGGAACAGGCCACTGGTCTCTAGTTAGAGACCATCTTGTGATGGGATCAAGCCAGCTGCAACGCCAAATCGGGCCAGAGGCGTAATGTGGTAAAAGTTCCCACTTCCTACCTTGCACCATCTTTGAACCCGGCCTTCATTTTGATCTCAACTACACCTCTGTAAAGTTCTAGGATGGCTTCTTGCACGGCTGTGATGCTGTCACGTTGACAAAATCTGTCCACAAACATAATTCGAATAATTTAATGTGGCAACACAGTTTGAAATACAACAAAATCTCAATCCGCTTCCCATAAGGGATAAAACAATCACAGTACAATGTTTAAACCGATCAATTTACACAAAAGAATCATGCGTTTATGAGGGTATAAATGGGATAAATAAAATTAGAGATGAAATAGAGAGCCAAGTTTAAAAGGAAAACACATATGAACCAGGACCCTTGAGGAAGACTGACATTAACACATGGCAAAGTACTCAAAACTGCTTCAGTGGTAGCTCCTGCTGCAATCTGTGTCTCCAGGACCACATTTTGCAACGATGACAAGGTGATAACAATACCAGTGTTGTTGTTGCTGCTGGTATAACAAGCACCTGACTGGAAGTGTTTTAACAAAAGTTTACCAAGAGGAGGGAAGAGAGACCAAAGCCTGTTTTGATGCAGGACTACAGGAATGCTGTCTGTCACTTAAAATGTCAACCATTACTACTTTACATCATAGTGTTGAGTGGCTGTGGTGCACAGTGCGAAACCCAGACTTGCAAAAAATAAACCCTGACTCTAACTTGAATCCACATGAGGCAGATACATGGGACAGAACAGTCTCTCTGCTTAACAACTCAACCACGTAACAGTGACAATTCCTCATATGCATCAGCAGACTTTGTGAAATTTCACTTCTTCTACATCTCAGGACTCTACATACAGAAAAGTGGCACGTTAAATGAAAAGCCTACGTAAGAGACGACAAAAGCAGATGCTTCCATTCAAAGCAGGTGGGGCTCACTGAGTGACTTGATGAGTAAAATGATATGCTACGGCCTTCACATTCACAAGATCTTAATCCTGCTCAACATCATAGGGGAAATCATCAAAAGACTAAACTGGGGGAAATCCTTTGGAAGCATGGTGTTTCTCCCTCCAGTAGAGTTCCAGGGGGCTCCTGGTCACCCTAAACCTTACACTTGTGTATTCTACACAATGACTATATGGTGCCAAAGCTCAGCTACTACAATAGGCCTCTATAAAGCCAATGTTTTACTACTAGCAGTGCTGCCGTAACTAGTGTAAAACCAATGTTATTTAGCATGGTGTAGTCTACATTTGAATTGAATGTTGTGTAATGTTGTGTGGTGGGTTTCTCTAGGCTTTAAGTTAAATAGAAAAACAAAATTACACTTTTTAACAGTCCACCCTTGCATAGTGTTTTACTTTAGTTTATGTTCTCTGGACAGATGGATCAGCAACATGTGGGTGAAATAAGTTTTGAATTGTCTTGTGAAAAAGGCAGTTTTAGACCCAAGATAAAAGGACAGGGTAGTTGGCCTGTACCTCCCACTGTTCACATCGCTGAGGGCCCGTGATTGAAGACTACTGACATGACCCCTGAGACCAAAACAAACCAAAACCATACATGCACTCAATGTAATCATGTCTTTTAACAAAAGCTGATGTCTTACTACCAGTTTTGGTGGTCTCGGTTAAAATATGTCTACTTCTAAAAAGCGGACTTGTCATTACATCGCAGTATTTTCATTTGGGCATGTTTAGGATAATCATCCCACTCCAGATCTGCCCGTTTGTGTGCTACCTTCAGTGAACCTCGGACTGTCCCAAGTGGAACGTGCCTTTCCTACCTTCTGCCCATCCTTCCCAACAACAAATGTGACACACAATGACAAGTACGGATTTTACAATATGTTTGGCTTCAGTGCTCACTTAATGTGATAAAAGTGACTGGTTATATGCATTTTTGGTTCATTATTTACATTCAGTTTGATAAAATATCTCCGACGGCACCTGAAGGCAACATACTTCTGTAGTTAGAGCCCCCGCTGCCCCCCCCCCCCCCCCCCCCCCCCCCCCGCCCGCACGTAAGCTACCTTCAGTGAAACA